TCCTACTCACTGCCTCACCTGCCAGAGAACCCCTGGATCGCCCCCAATCCTGCCCAGCCCCCACAGGCATCTCAGGAGCAACATCGAGGTGACAATGCCCACTCGGCCACGCCCATTTGGTGGCCACGGCCACTTGGCCATGCCCATTTGGTGGCCACGCCCACTTGGTCACACCCATTCAGTGACCACGCCCATTTAATCACACCCACTTGGTGGCCACACCCACTTGGTGGCCACTCCCACTTGACCACACCCATTTGGTGGCCACGCCCCCGGCACCCGGCGATGTATAAGTGGGTTTCAGGTTGCAGTTTGGGCACTCGGTCTCTAAAAGGTTCGCCACCACTGTCCTAGAATCTGAAGTGAAATGGGCCTTAGGAAATCTGAGCAACAACAAAGCTAGTGGAGGTGACAGCATTCCAGCTGAGCTATTCAAAATCTTAAAAGACGATGCAGTAAATGTGCTACACTCAATTTGCCAGCAAATTTGGAAAACAGTACCCACAGGATTGGAAAAGATCAGTTTACATTCATTCCAAAGAAAGGCAATGCCAAAGAATGTTCAAACTATCGCACCATTGCACTCATTTCATATGCTAGTAAAGTTATGCTTACAATCCTACAAGCTAGACTCCAGCAGTACGTGGACCGAGAACTACCAGAAGTACAGGCAGGATTTCGAAGAGGCAGAGGAACTAGAGATCAAATTGCCAACATACGCTGGATCATGGAGAAAGCTAGGGAGTTCCAGAAAAACATTTACTTCTGCTTCATTGACTATGCTAAAGCCTTTGATTGTGTGGATCACAACAAATTGTGGCAAGTTCTTAAAGAGATGGGAGTACCAGACCATCTTATTTGTCTCTTGAGAAACCTATATGTGGGTCAAGAAGCAACAGTGAGAACTGGACACGGAACCACTGGTTGGTTCAAAACTGGGAAAGGAGTCCAGCAAGGCTGTATACTGTCGCCCTGCCTATTTAAGAGCACATCATGAGAAAGGCAGGGCTAGATGAATCAAAAGTTGGAATTAAGATTGCCAGGAGAAATATCAACAACCTAAGATATGCAGATGATACCACTCTAATGGCAGAAAGTGAAGAGGAACTAAAGAGCTCTTGATGCGAATGAAGAAGGAGAGTGCAAAAGTTGGTTTGAAACTCAACATTAAGAAAACCAAAATCATGGCATCCGGCCCTCTCAATTCCTGGCAAATAGATGGGGAAGAAATTGAGGTAGTGACAGATTTTATTTTCCTGGGCTCCAAGATCACCGCAGATGGGCACTGCAGCCAAGAAATTAAAAGATGCTTGCTCCTGGGGAGGAAAGCTATGGCAAATCTAGACAGCATACTAAAAAGCAGAGACATCACCCTGCCAACACAAGTGTGTATAATCAAGGCCATGGTTTTCCCAGTTGCAATGTATGGATGTGAAAGTTGGATCATAAGAAAGGCTGAGCGACAAAGAATTGAGGCCTTTGAACTATGGTGCTGGAGAAGACTCCTGCGAGTCCCTTGGACTGCAAGGCGTTCAAACCGATCAGTCCTAGAAGAGATCAACCCCGACTGCTCTTTAGAAGGCCAGATCCTGAAGTTGAAACTCAAACACTTTGGCCACCTAATGAGAAGGAAGGACTCACTGGAGAAGGATCTAATGCTGGGAAAGATTGAGGGCAATAGAAGAAGGGGACGATAGAGAATGAGGTGGCTGGATGGAGTCACTGAAGCAGTAGGCGTGAACTTAAATGGACTCCAGAAGATGGCAGAGGACAGGAAGACCTGGAGGAACGTTGTCCATGGGGTCGTGATGGGTCGGACACGACTTCGCAATTAACAACAAATATGGTGTTTCTGAAAATACTGATGTGCCTTGTGTTTCCCGTCCCATAGTATTGCATGTGACCCTGTCTGCATGTCATGGCCTTCTAGTGCTAACAGTCTCCTGTTCCTTAGGTGTATCCATTCCTTTATCCAAGAGAGTGTTGCAGCCTGATAGTACATTTCCCAGCTGCTAAGAATGGGAAAATAAGTTGGGTACTGCTGTAAGAGAAGGATGCTGGAGGCTTGCAAGCACCAGCCAGCAACAACCAGTTGATCTCCCTTGGAAGGATAATTGGTTGGAGGGACTCAGTAGAACAAGATGGGTGGGTAAATTATTGCAGGGGTGCTACAGCAGCCATAACTTTAACACCGGGTCACAAGTAGCTTTGGGGAGCGTCTGTCATAACTTCAAACGGTCGCTAAGTGACCAGGCATAAGTCAAGGACTACTTAAACTGCCTAAGAAAGAGTAAATATACCAAATGTATTAAGAAACAGAGTCACTGATGATTACATGGATAGTCAGAGTAAAAATGCATTTAAATAGTTATATCTATAAAACCTATCCAGAATTATCAAATGTAAGCTAATATATTTAGAGTTCCATAGCCAGCAAACCTACACATTTTCTTCCCCTCCTCCTGCCTGAAGCTAGGCTACCTCCATCCTGTTCTTCAAGGCCTGGTTATACCACCAAGCCTGGGAATCCGAAGGAACCAGAGACATTTTTTGATGGCTCCATTATGGTTGACCTTTTTTACTCTCTCCATGTGGTTCATACAGTTCACATTTTTATAATGTTTTTCATTTTTACTATGACTTTCATATTTTTATAATGATTGGCTTTTATATTTGTTTCATTCATTTATTCATTCACTCAGACTTGCTTCTTGTGAGATGGGCAGCCATATAAATGTGATTAATGAATAAAATATATTCATTAGAAGTAAATTTTACTTAATTCAATGGGATATACTTCTGGGAAGATACATTTTGTTTCAACTTTGGATTGGGAACTGCCCCAAGTTTTTTAGAAACTGGATGGCTATGTAAATTTTTAAATGAATAAATATGCAAGCTTACACTGTTGAACAGGTAACACAAGTCAGTTTACAAGCGTTGCTTTCTTATGTCTTGTGGGAAGAATCCAGAGAAAGAAATATTTTGGGAAATATTAAAAAGGCAGAATATATTTCCCCAAAGGATTTTAAAGGCAGAGGCCCCCCCCCAAGTTTCTCTGCCCCAAACAGAAACCAGGGCTGCAGAAATGCAGATGTGATAATCTTGTCAGAAAGATTGGAGGCAGGAAGATGGGATTAGAAAGAAAGATCCCTAGAATCAACAATCCCTCACACCAAAAAATCCAAGTCGTCAGTCACAGCCCCAGGGAAGCAGGATATAACTTTTGGCAGGGCTTTTTTTCTCATAGAATGCCCAGAACGGAGTTCCGGCACCTTTTTTGGATGGAACCTTGTAGGGTAGGCAAGGCGGGTTGTATGACGTGTGAGTTCCGGCACCCTTTTTTTTTTTTTTTTTTTTTTACAAAAAAAGCACTGACTTTTGGGTTATAATAAGATTAACCCACCACCCTCAGAATACCAGAAAGGCATACAGACTCAGGTCAAAGTTCATGCCATCAGGTCAAAGTTCATGCCATAGGAACAACTCCAAACAAAAGCTCAAGAAGGTATAAAAGCCCACCACTCCCTACTACATGTGGTCAGTTTTCCCAGAACCATCTTTCTGTCTGGCTCTGTTCTTCAATAAACTACAACCTTTCTAAAGCAGTCTCCATTTTAATTATTCCCAGCATGGACTGGATCTTAATGAAGACTTTTTCTTTGGACAGATTTCATTTTAATTATGAAAATGAAACAGACTTTCTTACTCAAGACAAAACCTTGACTCTGATGAAATACACAACAAGCACAGGCAGGTTTTCCCATTCTGCATCCGGTAACTAATATTCTAATCAGATAAAATACAAAATAGAACTGTTTTATTAGGTAAGGCCATATAAATTATTTATGATGTTGGTCTATTTTAATTGTTACCCACCCAGACATCAATTTGAGATCGGTGCCCATATAAATTGAACAAAATAAAAATAAAAAAAAAATACTTGTCAAACACGTGCATACCAAAACCATCCAACTTCTCCACCTCAATTGCCCAGTGATCTCCTGCAACTCAGAATAGTGAAACGGAATTCATAGAGAGCAGAGTTTAAATCTCTAGAACCCACACAAACACAAAGCCAAAACTAGGAGCTTTAGTTCCTTTAAAAAAAGACTGCAAGAAAGTAAATCTCCCGGAGCAAGTCCATCCCCATTTCGAAGCGTACCCCTCTTGCCTCTCCCTATGTCTGTGAACGTGGGGATGGATGTCTGCTTGTTGCAGACTTTCTCGAGCTGGCAGAGCTGGGGGGGGGGGGAGAGAAAAAACAACACCAAAACGGCTTCCCCTGACCTGCTCTTGGAAGCGCTGAGCGGCTCTTCCCATTTGCTCGAACGCGCGCTGCCGCCGGCTCCTCGCCTTGCCTATCTTGCCTTGGACCTGCCTTCTCCTCCGCCATTTCAGCAGGAAGAGGGTCGCTAGCGAGCAGCCCAGGAAAGCAGAAATCAGAGCTACGCACATCCTCATCGCCGAGCGGCAGTCCGCGGCGCCTCGGTCGCTTTTATACTCCGACTCCTCCCACTCCGCTCTGTGCAAAGATGCGAAAGGAAGAACAATTTGTACTCGGACTCCACCCTTGCAAAGGCTTCTACGGAGAAGGTGCCTTCCCGAAGTGGCGTGCACCGCAAACTTTTTCGTTTGGTTCTCGCGCCTTTCCCCTCGAAATTAGCTTGTTAGTCACACATGTTCTTTTGGTGAAAACGTGGTTATACAATACAGCTGTTTGAGAAAGTTTCGCTAATGATCCAATACTTCGATCCTTAGTTTATAAAGGAGCCACTTTTTCGAGCATCTCCCCCCCCCAAAAAAAAAATAGTAGACGGGAACCTTCGCCCTCCCCCTCCTAACGCAGCTGAATTGTAATGATCAAATACAGCTTCAAAAAAAACCCCAGAAAAATCCGTGAGGATTAAGTCAGCTGGAGGTGGACGGGGAAGATTTGATCTTGCCTAGTCTGTTTGTCCTCACGCCCAACACCAGTAGAACTTTCTGAAAAGAAAGAAAAAGTTCCGGAGTTTTCCATTTATAACATTTCCAGGTCATTATTTTTTTTAAAAAAAAATGCTATACTTATTAATGTTGAATGTGAGGCTGAAAAAATAAAATCAATAACTAGCAGACAGCAGAATTAGTAGTTTGTGTATCTGATGATATCTTAGCAACTTTATTGTGCGTTATATAATAACTATAGGAATTTGGCCCCAATTTTATGGTCTAGAGCAGTGTTTCTCAACCTTGACAATTTTAAGGCATGTGGACTTCAACTCCCAGAATTCCACAGCCAGCAATGCTGGCTGTGGAATTCTGGGAGTTGAAGTCCACATGCCTTAAAATTGTCAAGGTTGAGAAACACTGGTCTAGAGCAGGGGTAGGCAACCTTGGCTCTTTTATGTCTCGTGGACTTCAACTCCCAGAATTCCTGAGCCGGCATGGCTGGCTCAGGAATTCTGAGAGTTGAAGTCCACGAGACATAAAAGAGCCAAGGTTGCCTACCCCTGGTCTAGAGCCATAATGGCATTTTAGGGAGTGAGTGCCCAAACTGCAATCCAAAACTCAGTTATGTATCGCTCGGTGCCGGGAGGGCATAGCCCACTGGGTATGGCCCCCACTGGGCGTGTGGCCCACTGGGTGTGGATGACAGGCAATTAATATGTGTTGCAAAAATTGAGCCATGCATAAAAAAAAGAATGATACTTAATGCAGAAACTGGTAATCCGATCACAAAACCACATCACAAAACCGCATCCACTTCTTTGAGAGATACCACATGATTTTTCCATTTGCCCACTGGAGGCAAAACAGACATGGAGGACTAATGGCCTTTGGGACAATAAATCTGATGAGTATCTCACTGTAGAAGAAATTTACCTCAGTTAGTCCTCGACTTACAACAATTCATATAGTGACCCTTCAAAGTTACAACAGCACTGAAAATAAAAACGACTTACCATTTTTCACACTTAACAACCATTGCAGCATCCCAGGGTCACATAATCAAAGTTCAGACACTTGTCATATTTATCACAGTCGCAGTGTGTCCCATGTGTGTCCCATGTGATTACCTTTTGCAACCTTCTGACAAGCAAAGTCAATGAGGAAGCCAGATTCACTTAACAACAGTGTTTCTAACTTCACAATTGCAGTGATTCACTTAACAGCTGTGGCAAGAAAGGACGTAAAATGGGGCAAAATTCACTTAATAGCTGTCTCGCTTAGAAACAGAGATTTTGGGCTCAACTGTGGTTGTAAATAGAGGGCTACCTGTCCTTTTTTTATATATATAAAAACTAGTTGCTCAGTGATAACCAGAAGGCCTGATGAACCAGCCATACAAATGGCAGTCTTCCTCCACCAAGTCCGATTGCTATCCAGCTTTTCCCAACTTGGATTCTTCCTTCCAGATTTGCTGGGTAGAGAATTCTAGGACGCATCATCCAAGCTCATTTCTTATACTCTTATATTCTTCAAGTAATTATAAACTTTTGTGCTCAGTTTCTAGTGATATATATGGTTATTTGGAACTGCTTATTGGTCCTGTAGAATTTCTATGTTTAATGGCAGTCATATATATAATATATATATACATACACACATACACACACATATGTATACCTATACATACACCTATATTCTATATACATGCATACAGGTCTTGGCGTATTCGGGTCTTTTCCCATGTAAGATTGAGAGTATCTTGGCGACGTTTCGACGAGGTCCCACTCGTCATCTTCAGGCTGGGGTCTTCGGCTTCGTGCTTGTGCGAGCAAAGTGTGATCGGAGCTGCCGTCTCTCTATAAATATTGGTGGGGTGTGTGGAGTGCTGGCTTAGTTGCTGTAGGTGGGTTGGTTGGCTGTGTAGGAGTTATTGTTTGGCCTAACAAACCGACAAAGCATTGTAGGACTCATCAACTCCACGACCGACACACGGGTAATCAGAAAACACAATATTGCTGGACCCATTACCCAACACACTAATGTAGGACTCTAGATCACATCACTATAGGACTCAAAACACAACGTTGTAGGACCCACCAACCGACACAACATTGTAGGACTCCTTTAGCGTTGTAAGACCTGCATACCTGTACCCGTGAAAATCTACGAAAACAAACATATATATATATATATATATATATATATACACACACACACACACACACACACACACACACATATATATACATATCTGTCTGTCTCTATATATGTCTCTCTCTCTCTCTCTCTCTGTGTGTGTGTGTATGCACACATATCAGCGTGTCTTGACTAGGGTTCAGTTAGTCTAGGAAGGAAGGAAGGTTGTTTGTGTGCCATGTGTGATGTTTATTCCTTTGGCCTCAGGTGAAACTGTCTGAATCTATATAAAGTGTACAATGCATTGCACTGTGCTTCACATTCCAATGACATAGTATGTATACATGTCAAAAATGTTATTATCTTTAGAGAATGGGAAGAAGTAGGTAAAAATTACAAAAGCTACAGTAGTGTCTGATGAATGCAAAAACACACATAAACATGCAGGCATTTTCTTTTGTTGTTGTTGTTGTTGACAATACATGTTTTTTTTATAATAGGTTGAAAAAATATGTGCAGTAAGGGCAGTTACCCATCAATCCTTGTAAACGGTGCTATGTGTCTTCTTGAATCTCTGATGGAACAACAAATGTTTCCATACAAGATAAAAATAAAGCATATGTGTGCTTGCTCATGTATGCACACACTTTGTGGCAATAAGGTCTGAGCCTGCATAAATGGTTGACAACCTGTTGCTATTTGTGTACAAATACAGGTATGAAAAGGGAACTGATGAGGAATGAAATAGGATGAAAAGAACAGAGGTGCAGAAAGGAAATTTGGTGACAGGTGAAAAGAAGGGAGGGAGGAGAGTTGGGGAAAGAGGGACACGTTTAAGATAGTGGGGCATTCACAAAAGAGGGAACGTTATGGAGATAATTTTGCGAATACTATGGAGATACAGCATGTTACAAGAATGGAAGAAGGCTATGTTGGGATAGAAAGAGTAAAAAAAAAAGGACATACATACTCAGTGCTTTTTTTGTAAGAAAAAAGGTGCTAGAACTCCCCTCCCGAGCGGGACTGCCATGCTACGGCAGATTGGATGGGCAGGGTAGGCCTGGTCCCCCTCTGCCATTTCAGAGCCAGGGGGGAGTGACAATGAACAGTTCCACTGCCGCTGTGCACTCCTGGAGGGGCTTTCTTTAAGCTTTGCCCCACCTAGATCACCTGCCCGGGCGCAGCTGCTGTCTCCTTGTCCTCTGCCAACTCTCCCGTGGCTTGCGCCATGACCAGGTGGCACAAGCCTCCCCCACCGCCTCCCTCCGCCAGTCCTTTGTCGCCTGTCTTACGGAGAATGGAGAACAGAGCAGCTCTGCGCAGGGATGCAGAGCAGAGAACAGCCCTTGCTTGTTGCCCTGCATTGCTCCATGTCTCTATTCTGGAAACAGCAGCTCCATTTCCTGCTGCTTCTCCTCCCAGTACAACTCTTCCCTCTTCCCGAAAGCATTTCTTTGCTAACCTGCTTTCCAGCTCTGGCGTGTTTCTCTTCTGCTGCAGGGAAACGGAGTTCTTGGGACTAAAAAAAGTTCAGTCAGACCTGCCAACTCCTTGTGAGATTTTTTTTTTTTTTTTCGCAAGAAGTTGGAAGGTCTGACTGAACTTTTTTTAGTTCCACAAACTCTGTTGAAAAAAGGTGCCAGAACGCCGTTCTGTGCCTTCTATGAAAAAAAAAAACCACCTGTACATACTTAGTTGAGTAAACCAGACTGATGGAACAGGGCCTCCGCTTTAGAATCGCAACACCTAAGGCTTCCAGTAACACAGCTTAAAATGAAGTATTTCAGTTTTGCACGATCCACCCACCCCTTTTTCAGCAAATGGTACGGCCACCTGTTTGGAAGCCCAGCGCAACCAAGACGAGCGCTTTCCATGCCAATAGGCAAAAAAAAAAAAAAAAAAGGCCCAACAGGCCTCCATTGTTCTCTTGCCAAAACAACAGCTCGCAGCGGTATCCAGCCACACCAAGTCTAGCTCAACTTTACAGATGGGGCAACCCGAAGCAATTTTGCGCTAAAATAACTGGAAGGATGACTAGCCGGCCAGGCAGACGTCGGGTTACAGCATTGCTTTCCGCCTTCATTCATGCACCCTCACGGAGGTCCCCCGGCCTTCTGCCCACCCCGACTTCGGGCGTGTGGGTGGTGCGGTTGTTGCAGCCCAGCCCTTAGCATCAGCTGCCTTTTGATCAGGAGGGGAAGTCACGAAGAAGCCGGGAGCATTAAATCAACCCAGCATCAGGCGGAGACAGGGCCGTGTGCCTCGCTGCGTCACCTCCCTTTGAATCACCCACAGAGACCCCGCTTCCCCGGATCCCCTTCCTGGGTCCTCCCAGCCCTGGCGGTTTTATCTCTCCCAGTTTCACTCTCTCCAGGACCTTGCTCCTCCACCACCACCCAGACTGGATCTGCCCAGCTCTTGCAGCTGCTCC